CCAAGATCTTTTCCTTGAGTGAGGTTTGTAGTCCCCTGACCCCCTAGACTGTACTCCCCTCTGCGGCCTTCTTTGCCCTTCCCCCCAAACTTCATGACTTTTGCACTTTGTGGGATTGAACTCCAGAGCCAATTGCTGGACCAGGTCTGCAGCCTGTTCCAATCCCTTTGTAGTTCTGCCTGGTCTTCGATCGAGTTTTATTCTTCTCATCAACTTCACGTCATCTGCAAACAGGACAAACCCCAGAGTCCCATTCCTTCCGTCATGTCGTTCACAATACCAGAAACAGTACTGGTCCAGGATGACCCCTGCGGGACCCCGCGGTCACAGGTGCCCACTCTGACACCTCGCCACGTACCATGACTCGCTGCTGTCTTCCTGACAAGTATTTTCCCCGATCCATTGTAGTGCCTTCCCTGTATCCCTGCTTGGTCCCCCCAGTTTTTGCACCAATCTCTTGTGTGGAACTGTGTCAAACGCCTTCTTGCAGTCCAAGAAAATGCAATCCACCCACCCCTCTCTCTCTTGCTTACTGCTGTCACCATGTCATAGAACTCCAGTAGGTTTGTGACACAGGATTTCCCGTCCCTGAAACCATGTGGCTGCTGTTGATGAGATCATTCCTTTCTAGGTGTTCCACCACTTTTTCTCCTGATAATTTCTCCATGATTTTGCATACTATACATGTCAGTGACACTGGTCTGTAGTTTTAAGCTTCATGTCTGTCTCCTTTTAAAGATTGGACTACATTTGCTGTCTTCCATGCCTCAGGCAATCTCCCTTTTTTCGATAGATGTATTGAATATTGTTGTTAGGGGTACACATAGCGCCTTGCTCCCTCTCTCCAATACCCATGGGGAGATGTTATCTGGCCCCTTTGGGGCCTTTGAGGTACTAGTTTTCCCCCTCGGGAACCCTTTTCACTTTTTCCCTCGGTTGTGTGCACTGTGTCCAGACTTGGTGGGGGTCCCCCAAACCTCCCCGTCTTTCTGACCCCTTCTGTCTCCTCGGGAAAACATTTTTTTTCTTTGAATCTCTTTTTTGAGTTCTTCACATATTTTCACGGTCATTTCCTGTTGTCTTCCCCCTTCCTTCCTTAGTGTTTACCGGTCCTTGACTGTTGTTTTCCTCCTGATGTGGTTTGTACAACAGTTTCGGGTCAGTTTTGGGTTTTTCCGCTGCAAATTCTTTTCATTTTGGGTTTTTGGGGCCCTCCCTTCTTATCTGTGCATATTCGTTTCGGGGCTTACGACTGTTCCCTTATTCTCCGGGGTTTCCTTTGCCTTCTATATTTTTTTCCATTCCCTAGCACACTGGTTTTTGCCCCCCTGCCCCTTTTGGGTAAACCAGGGGGCTCACCCTGGCTTTTTCATTACTCCTGTTCCTTTGGGTAAAAAACCTCTCCCCCAGCCTCCTTGCATTTTTTTTTGCAAACCATTTTCCCATCATCTCTTTTAACGGGTTCCCTCCCATTTCTCTGTCCCACTAAAACCCCGTTCAGGTAGTTCCTCATTCCTGTATAGTCCCCTTTTTTGTAGTTTGGCTTCATTCGTCCTGGCCTTCCTGTTTTTCTCCCTCCACTTGTAGCTCTATTTGGTGTATTCGAAAGTTTAAAAAACCACATGGTCACGGGCCCCCAAAGGGGGGCCCTTTCTATGTGTTTGTCCTCGATATCTGCACTACTAAAAGGTGAATACTAAGTCCAGCCTTGCGGGTTCCCACCTTCCTCTCTCTCTTTGTATTTTCCCCTTTTCGTGTTGGTACATAAAAGTTCTCCAGTACCACCTCCACATCTTAGCCCTCCATGATCTTGGCCCCCATGGGGGCCAAGTTCTCCCAATCGATCTCCTTGGGGTTAAAAAGTAAACCCATGATCAGGAGCTTTCCCTGCAGGGATGGGCCCCTTTGTGTTGTGGTGTGTGTGCGTGTGCGTGTGTGTGTGTGCGGTGGGTGTGTGTGGTGTGTGGGACGGGGTTGTGTACTCACCTATTTTTGGGTTTCAGGGGGCGAGTCTTACTCCTGGCCCCCCCCTTACCGGTTGCTACTGGGCCCTCTCTCCCCCCCCCCTCCTGAAACTTTATCAAACCTCGTCTTTTAAAATGTTATGGTTTTCCCGCCTCCACTACGTCCCTTTTTTAGGCTATTCACTGCCCTTTCAACTCTATGACTGAAGAAATACTTTTCCCACCCAAACTCTCTGACTCATTTGTGCTTTAATTAAAATTTTTGGGGCCCCTTGTTTCTGTGGGGCCCCTCCCTGGAACATCCTTTTCCCTTTTTCCACCCTTTTCTATTCCCCCGCCGTATTTTATATGTTTTTTATCATGTCTCCCCCGACCCTCCTGCCTCCCGTTCGTTCAGGCCCATTTCCCTTTTCCCTTTCCCTTTAAGGACATTCCCCCTTGCCCCCCCTTTCCCCCCAAAACCCTTTTCGCAAAACCCTTTTTACTTTCTCTGTTTCTTTACGTGCTTTATCAAGGTGGGGTTTCCCAAACCCCGG